AGAGGAAATATGCTTACAGCCCTCTCTTCATTGCAGTAACTAGTGGGAGGAAAGAAAGGAAATCCTGCCATGATCATAATTGAGTTGAAAAAAAATAAATCTCCAGGCTCCAGGATACCCTAGCCACTGGGGTTAGAAAGACAGAGATTTTCCACCTAGCATTGGACAGGCTGTGGGATGAATCCTTGATTTGGGATAGGAACCCTGTTGTTCTGGTTTTATCAGAAGCACACTCTACAACAACTGCAGCAAGAAATTCTGGTCTTATTAAAGTCACAGGTAGAACTTGATGAATTGACAGATGGAAAAGAAAAGGCAGATCACTGGAAGCAGTCTGACTTCAAATAGTTGTGATTCTATGAAAAGAGAGGAGAGAGGTAAACTCTTGGTGGTTTATAATTTTTCCACTCCTCTTCAATAGAGCTATTGGTATAGTGAAGCTAGAGCCCTGCTTATTATTTGCAAGCATTTATTAAGTATTTATTCTTACATGAAATAGAATCTCCACATTAGGTTCTAGCCCTTTCCATTTACCTTCTTGATTATCTAATTGTGTCCATTTCTATGGCATTGGCTGTTACACATAGTCCATCCATCCTTGCATCTATGCTGGAGAGCAAAGTTACTAAAAGACAGTTATTGCACGGACTTACTACACCTTATCTGTTCTGTTGGAGCAAGCCACATGCATGCCCTTAGCCAGCAGCCCTTAAAGGGCAGCCTCTGCCATGTTCAGCAAAGACTTAGCTGCCTCCCCTAGTCCCAGGATAAGAACTGGCAAATAGGAAGTTACCTTATTGTAAGTGGTGTGCTCTAAAATTACACCCAAGCTTACCTTGCGGTAACTTGCTCGTGTAGTCATGGCCTTAAGGTTTTTCCTTAGTATCCATGGCCACAGCATCTAAGCATTTTATGGTATAGCATACACTAAACATTAATTTCAAATTATTGAGAACATTTTCATGACTCAACAACTTTCTAATGACTGTGTACCTTGTTAAAATCTTGCAGTTCTTTAATAACAAAGTTTTCCCTGATCCCTTGGCATTTAAACACCCTGTATAACTGAAATGAAATGCATAGCTGAAGTGTTTTTTTAGGACACTTGATTTAAAGTGAGCTCAAAGCAGCAAAGGACTCTTTGAACATCTCCAGAGTGGACACTCCCAGAGCTGTCTGTATACAGTTCGAATTAATTATTCCCTTCATGGAAATTGTACAAGATGTCCCCCAGGCTCTTTTTCACTGCCTTGCTGCCCTTTTGTGATAATCCCTTGCTATCCTCTGGGCTTTCTGTGGTCCTAAACTTAACATATAAAGCTATTTTTATCTAGGGGCTAGGGTGTGAATAAATGCAGAGAATGTCTCTCAGCATGACTTTGTGAGCCTTCCTTCGAGTTGATTAGAAATGCTCAAACTTTCTTGCAAGCTGCCTTTGAGCATCCTCAGGTGAAATAGCTGCAGTTATTATATATTATATAAATATATATTATATTATATTATATTATATTATATTATATTATATTATATTATATTATGTTATATTATATTATGGATTTTTTCTCTTGGGTCACAAGAGGCAGCAATCAGCCAGGAGCAAAAGGGAAACTTGGAGGCAGACTGGAGGCTTAGGAGGTGGAGCCCATGATCTCTGTTCTTCAGTGCACCACTGCTGCATTTGGACAAGTTTCCTCGCCACTCTCAGGTAATGTAAGTGTGACACAGCCATTCATCCCACAGCTATGCCAGAGCTGCACTATGTCTTTGCTGGGGTTAGCTCTACTCATTTAGCTGGGTTTACAATAGCACCTTAGGAAGATGCATTCCCAACCCTCCATTAATTTTAAATGGGGACACAGGTGCCTCTAGGGTTCTTGAAATAGCCAGCCCTTCAAGTTTTATGGGAAAGGTATAACGTGCCAGGAGAAAAGGACTTTGTTCATGTCACTAGTTGTCATGAGTCCTTAGGATGGAGGCAACAAGACCCACAACCTCTTTAATGACCAACAGCAGAGAGAATGCACAGCACGAGTGCTTTGTACTGAAATGCCAGTTCAGTTAGCCAGCAACTAGTAACAGGCTACTTACCCTGCAAGAGCCTTGCTGAGCTCCTCCCAGCAGTAGGGCTGCTCCCAAGAATTACAAAAGTGTTGTAAATCTAGCTGTTTCATCATTTAAACATCAGTTGAGAAATAGCTTCTGCTAGACTTTAAAGAATATAAAAAATAATAAAAAAACAACCCAAACAAACCCAAAACCAAACAAAAAACCCTAAAACCACTGTACTCAGCTTGGGACCCAGCCATGGCAGGAGTGTTTTTTGGGGTCAGCCAGATAGGTGTCCTAGGGTTCTGCCAGCTGTGCTTCCTCTGTGCTGCAGATCACACTGGCAGGTTTGCTGGTTCAGGTGAGCTGCTCTCCATACTGCCTCATACCTGCCTGGCTCAAGGCTTGCACAGGGGTACTACAGAAACCTACTACAAGCTAGACTGGGATGAAAGATGTCTTAGAGCCAATGTCAGCTTGTTTGTGAGAGGGACAAAATACCTATGAGCACTGGACACCCATAGCACTGGGCAGGTCACTATGTGTACTCAGTGGGCTCTCTGTCTCTTCCGACAGAGAAATGGTGGTCTTGGATGTTCTGAACCCATGGGAGCTGAAGTCGGTCAGTTTGGGTCACAGGTAACATGACCAGCATTCTGTCAGGCCATCATCCTTCTTATTTCAATGTAAACACTTCCCACCTGTCCCAAATACGCATGCCATTCTTCAGGACTTTCCAGCATTGCTTACATTTGTAGAACTTTATTCCTTGCTCCCGCTCCCTCTGCCGCATCTGTTCCCACCACAGCTGTGGCCACCCTGTTCTGTCTGGCTGACACCCTGTCCCCCCTTCCCCTCCAAAATACTCCCTCCCCTCCAAGATCAAAATACTCTGTTTTTATTTATTTACCCTGCAGCTGTCAGTGTTGTGTCTGGGTCAGTGCACTGCAACATGGAGGAACATGGGATACATGGAAAATCCTTAAAACTGCCAATCCTAGTAGTAACCAATATACACACCATCAACAAATATATCCCTTGCTCCGTTGCTCCTTTGAAAACAACAGGTCCAGATGATGGAAGAAATGACATTGTTAGAGGCTGGAGCAAACATCCTGGCTTGAACCAGCACTGGGTTTGCATGTGATCAGGGAGAAGAGGCAGGGCTGAAGACAGGGTATATCCCAGGGCTTGCCTGCTCTATGTTTTTTTGAAACAGAAATGTGCAAGGCAGAGACATGGCTCTGAGATGTTGGGCAACAGCTTTGCTGTCTTTCTGCTTTCCCCACATGTTGCTTTGTAAGATGAAGGGAAACCCTGTAAGTGTCGCAAGGTGGAAGATGCTGTTGAGGAACAGGAAGCAGCTGGGATGGTGCATGGTGGCAAAGAAAAGCAGAGCCAGGAATGAGTCTGATTTCTTCTGTTTCTCTGCTGATTTAAAGCTCAGTATCTAGACACCAGCTTTGGTGGAGATGAGACCTTAGCCCTGTTCAGCCACAGCATCCTATAAAAGATGGGCTAGTACGTGGGCTCATCAGTTGACCACTCATTACTACATCAGTGCAAACCTTGTCTTGGTGTGAAGACAGAAGTCTTTAACTTAGTAAAGAAATGGGTATGACTATGATTTAGGGTTGTAGAGAAATAGGACGAGCTTTTAAGTAGCCAGTGCCTAATAAAACAGATGGTTGCTGCTGACCAGTGTTGATTGATGTAACACACACTTTATGTGTTTCCAGGAGGACTTGCAGAGTGCCTGGATGAATAGACTTGGTCAAAATTCCCTGCTGTGCTGCTGATACAGAACTGCAGTGGCTCTTCTTCATGTTGCCCATCCCGTGCTGGGCCCAACAGCTACAGGTGAGGCCACGTTGTGCAGGTGCTTATGCTGCTTCATGAAACAAACCTGCAGGATCAGGTGCTGATGGACATGTAGAATGCCCAGTTCTCCCAGCTCTGGGTGTGTGATAAGGAGTTGCTCAGCATGCAGGGCAATGAGTTCAAATTGTCCATTTGAAATTAATGTAAGGGGTTATTCAGAGGTTCTGCTCTCTTTAAGCAGCTTTTTGTTTCTGCACAGATACTCAAGGAAGATAAGTTAACATTCTAGCAAAGTCCAAAGGTTGTGTGGTACCCAGCACTGCATGCGGAACAGTTAGCTGATTGCTCTGGGAGGCTGTTATGGCCATTGGGAACCAGGGATGGATTGACTGGCTCAGAGCTATTTTGTGTCAGTAGCTATCTTCATTTTTATTTTTATTTTTTTTTTAGTATGCCAGACCCTGTTTTTTAGGCAATCCCTTTGTATCCTCTACCCCACCAAAATGCAAATGCCCACATTATAGCTACACCACTAAACCAGGGCTGTGGTTTCCTGAGTGAAAAGGGCTGAGTGCAGCTGAAGGCAGTGCTCCCCTGCAAACCCGGTTGCTTGCTCTCGCCAGCAGCTGTAATTCAGGCTAAGGTAGGGTGCACACCCCAGCAGCTGGGTGCGTGGCTGGAAAGCAGGTCTTCAACTGTCAGCTTCTGCCTCAGGCAGTGCTCAGGGACACAGGAGCTGCTCTTTCCTCTGTATCTTCTCAGGGTGTGGGAGAAAGGGGCATCACTTTTCCCTCTTTAGCTCCAGAATGATGTTAGGAACGGCTGGCATGGAGAAAGAGATTTCCTCCTCCCTTTCTCCTTCCCTAAGAATAGCCAGTTTGTAGGTCTGTCAAAAACCAGAACAGCGACTAAAGCCCAATTGAGAAAGGAGCAAATTGCAGCACTGTGACCAGGTCACAGGTGCCTTTGATTAACTTCCTATCTACTAAGAATCATCTGCCTTTTCCCTGGCACGATGCCAAGTGCTGCAAGGCAATTAGCAGGTACTTCAATGAGCACCTTGCTAGAACTTCTCCTTCAGACCTCCCAGAAGGACATGCTTCTGTCACCCAGGCTTCTGGGAGAGGGAACAGACAGGCATAGGCAGGCTGTGGTAAATGGCTCCAGGTAGGTATTCTGCTAGCTGCAGGATACCTGGAGTCCTGCATCTGATGTGGAAGTAGGATTGGGAGCCTGAATTAAAGCATGTGTTCAATGGGGACATGCTAGCTCCAAGCACCAAACTTACATTGTGATTGTCAGTTAAGGTGTTAACACTGCTGTCTCTTCAACCTGGGGACCTGAGGGCTGCAGAAGGCACTGGGAGGACAGAGTCTGTATCACACCTTTACTGCCATCCATGCTTCAATCTCTGCAGCTAATGCAACTTATTGAAAATCACAATCCTGATCATGACCTCCTTCCTTGCAGCTCTGCCTTTGTCCTCACAACCTGCAGGACTCACCTCCTTCTTGCATTGCTGCCTCTTCTGCCAACTGCAGCCCCGCATTTTGTGGCAGTAAGAAAGACCTACAGGTGATGAGAGGTGGGAGGGAGAGGATGACTTTTTTCCTGGCAACTTGACCCCTTTACCACCCAGTGCTGGTTCCTTTCTCACAGGCATCCTTCGAGAAGGCATTATCCCCTCCAGAAGGCACAGAAGGTTGTGATCTACATTTGTGTTTATCTGTTACTGGTCTATAGTGTACCTAAGTGATGAAAACAGCTACTGACAGCCGGGCAGGTTAAGAAAAATTGATTGCCTGGAACTACAGGTTCACATCCCAGCAGTAATATTTTTAGTCCTTCAGATGCAGCTAAACTTGTAGCTAGCAGCTTACTGGGTGTTCAGAGACTGATGTTAATGACACGTTATGCAAAAGTATCTCTTCCGGGACAGAATCTTATTCCTCCTAGTGCAACATATGCAGTTATTAGTCTTCCACCCCAGAAGTGGCCACATGTCTGATTCTGGCTGTGTATACAGCAGCTTGTGAAACATGCCAAGACTCCCCAGTATGGAAGGCATTGCAGAAATTTAAGACAGGATCTGAGCTATGACAAGCAGAGTGCCTGGCATCATATTCCATCATGCAGCAGGGGAAACAGGGATGCAAAATATGTTCTTGAGCTGAATAAGCTATTTGGACAGAATAAGGACCGAGGTGAACTTTAGTCTCCAAATTTAAACCAAAACCGGATTACAAGTCTTCTCACATTGGTGTGTCACAGTTACCTCATGAAATTACTCCACCTCCATTGCCACCAGCTGTTTTTTTGTTGTAGGAGTTTAATTCACAGTTCCAATTGCTGAAAAACACCCAAAGATTGGGGCAAAGCAAACAGGAAATCTGGTAGCTCAACTATGGCAGGGTGAGTCACTTCATTACTCTGCATTGCAGAAACTCAGACCCCAACAATTACTTTTCATTTCTCTTTTGACCTCATGGGACTTCATATTTTTTGGACCTGTTTGGTGAGAAAGCATTTCAGATGTGAGCATTGTCTTAGGTCTTCTTGCTGCTTCATGATTTGTGGTTAATATGATGCTGGAGAAATCCAGCAAAAATCCTTCTGGTTAGCCCAGTTTAACTTAATCTAGTTCAGCTGCAGCCCCTGAGCACCAAATCACAACATCTGAAGATTTTTTTTTTTAGTACAAATTAGCACCTCATCACATCCAGTCACCACCTCCACCTGGAGCAAAGGGAAGGGGGTAGCCCCAGCAATGAGTGGATGATATGTTTGGGCTTAGTTCGTATTCATGAGGTAGAGAACCTGATTGCAAAGCAGGGGCAGTAAGTGTCTCTATTTTTGAATAGGAGTTAGAGTAGTGTTAGCTGGAGAATCTGGATTCTCTGTCTCCTACTGGTTAAACTGGTGAGTCTGTGGAGCCTTATTCTTGCCGATGCTGTTCAGAAGCATGTATCTGTCATCTGTGTTTCTCTTTGCTGCAGGGAAGGCCTGGTGGGTGCAGTGCTGGCCATGTGGAAGGGCATGCACTGGGTGATGGCTTTATTGTACTCTATAGCATGGGTACAATTCCTTAAAACCATGTAGGTAGCAGCACTGGTCTGCATCAGGGTTTCAGCTTGCAGAGAGCAGTGCTAATATCAGCCTAGCTAGCATAGGTAGCACTGTGGATGTGCAGACATGACAGTTGGTTTCATGTGTAGCAGTAACCCAAGAGTTCAGTTTCTAAGGAAGGATTTGCTGAGCTCTCTGTTATGTGACTGCATGGCTAGACAGTCCATAGCTGCTTTGGCTACCCATGCATCAGCTGTGCTCAATGCCTAGAGTTGCTTGGGGATGTTTGTTTGATTGTCAAAACATTTTGGCATCAAGGGCCTCTCCACACCTCCTGGTGCGACGTGATCCCCAGTTAACAGACTGAGCTTGACTGTTTGGAAATCCATCGCAGTACTATTTAGACCTGCACAGAGAAAGGGCAAGATACTACTGTCCTGAAATGATAGCTGATACGACAGTACCTGCTTGGGTGAGCAGAGCACTGGGTATGCAAAGTCTGAAGTAACAAGCAAGTATCTGAACTCATTCATCTGCTCTGGTAAGGGATTGAACTGGAGACAGCAAAATCCAGACTTGCTTGTCCCACGAGGGCCTGGTGGTCTTAAAGATGACCAGAGTGACTGTTTCTTGGTTTGACGTGCTGGGTTTCTTTTTTTTGTTTTTCTCTCTCTGTTTTAGTCCTTTTAGATCCTTGGTCTGGGCTTGCCCATGAGCTTGGCCACAGGCTTGGGTCCGCAGTGCTTGACCATGGCTCAGTGAGCAAAGTTCAGCTGTTCCCATGGGGTTGGGCACAGCTCCTCATGTGCACCCCAGAGGAGGAGCTCATCATGGGGCAACCTCTGCTTCTTCCCCCCGTTCCTGGGAGAGGAATGGCTACATCATGTGTAGGTTGCAGCCCCTACACATGTGAGAAAAGAGGGGCACAAGCTGGCAGGTCTTGGATGTTGGCAGTCTTTCCTCCCCAGTACCTGGTGCTGTGGAGGGACAGAGGCAGCAGCTGCCAACCTTTGACAGTGCCTGGCTCCAAACTAACCTGGCAATCTCCCTGCTGGTACCCACTCTGTATTCATTGGGATATCACAGCCATCATCAGCAGAAGTACAGTGACTCACCTGGCCTGGCCCTCCCTGCACTAAATCCTGCTATCAAGCTGATGATCTGCTGGTAATTTTGCTCCATCTGAGTGCTGTAGACCTGCTCTCGCGCATCCTGCTCTCCCTGTAGGCAGAAAGTTTCCCCCCAAATTACCCCACCCTCACTTGGTGTACCCGCAGCCTCTGGCCACTTGCCAGCACATTGTTTCTTTTGTAAACCAAAAACCTCTGCCCTAGTACCTTATTCCAGGAATATGGCTCTGGAGGCCTATGAGGTGCCATGGAGAGATGTGGAGGTCCCACAGCTGACCTCATTCCTCATTAAGACAGGGAGGTGATGCCCATGTTGACCTGCTGAATATGTGCGTTACTGTTAATGCTGAGTGGCTATTCACTAAATGGTCCCTCCTTAGCCCTGTTGTGCACAGGGAGGGACATGGCACAGCATCGGGAGGGGGCCTTCGGAGCAACTCCAGGGCACAAGCTACAAGCTGCAAAATGCAGATGTGTATTGCTCCCATGATCTCTTTTTGTTGTGCTGTCTTCTCTGTTCCTCCTGTCACCCATTTACCTCCATTTGCTTTTTATCCCCAGTCTCTCTTTTGTGATGTTATACCTGGTATAGGGGCCCATTCAAAGATGATGCTATACTACAGGGCTGGTCTCATTTTGTGCAGGACACTATCAGTCTAGTCTCCTTGGACATAGTAGAAGTACAGAGATAAGCTTTAATAACTGACTTCCTTGGTCTGACTTTGGGGTTTGGGGTCTTTGTGAAAAAAGAGCAAACATTCATACATAGTTTTCAGTATCATTTAAGGAGTTAAAAAAAAAGGTAAGGAATGAAATGGCTCTGTTGCTTCTGATTCCTGGGAGGAGCTCCATGTTGAGGCCATGAATGATTTACCAGTTTGGAGAGGGGACCCCTCATGTCCTTGGAAAGGGATTCCAGGTCATCTCCTCTGCTGTCATGGAGTAAAAAGAAAAGTGAATGGTGCTGAAGGCAGTAATAAGTGGCACTGAGCCCTGCAGTGCCACTTCCAGTGGGACAGCAGGAGCCTCGTGGGAAGGCTTTCTGTCAGAGACCTCTCCATTCCCCGAGGGGAGCCATCCCTTATCCATATGCGTATCAAATCTATTTGCTAAGCTGAAAGGTCTGACTGATGTTATAAGAGTGTTTTCGGACTTGTTTAGAGTTTTCTGGGGTTTATCTTAGCTGGAATTGTTAAACTCCTTAGTAATGTGTTACAGCTACTAGTAACACAGGAAAGCAAATATCCCTTTCATATGTGAAGCCACAGACCAGGAGTAAAGTTAAAGATAATATGAATGATGTCTTATTGCATATCCCCTTCCTGTGGCACCCTTTGATCTAATTTATGTTATTATTTATTTCAGGGTGACCAGGGAGGTCAATGGAGATTTAGCTGCCAACTTGGTGAACAGGATTTCAACCTGTGTCTGTGATTAGTGATGAAATGAATTCCACAGCTTGAAATCATTTATCCAGCATCTCCAATCAAACACAAACATCCTCTGAGCTTGAAAATAAATGAGGGTTGGAGCCAGCTAGCCTGGTGCAGAGATTTGTGATAGATTGATGAGCCGAGAACAGGCTGCCATCCTCCACCCCCATCATCAGTGACTTTCCAGCCCTGGGATGGGGAGGCTTGGGCTAGAGATGAAGGATATACTTTCTGATAAGTGTTACAGTAGGAGGTGAGAAATATAAGCCCCCAGAGGAGAAAGAAAAAAAGGCAGGCACTGTGCTCTGTTAAGCAGGTTACAGTTTAGACAGAGCAGCTGCTTGACGGGCTTCTGGCACAAGGGCTGGGGCAAGAGCAGCCCTGTGCTTGCAGCACCTGTTATTGAACGCTACCCGCAGGTACCAGGGCAGCACAGACTATGCTTTCTGGCTGATACAGTCTTTTTCCAGTTGTGTGTGGAGGTAAGGGGCCTGTGAGATGAAAGGAGAGAGCTGATGAAACAGCTGATGAGGTCTGCCCTCTGTGAGATGAAGCCACAGGAAGGCTCACATGCAAGTGGCTTTTTGAGGTTAAAGCTGAATATAAAGTCTGAATTTGAGTTCCCCTGTCACAGTTCAGTGATTTTTAATTGGGAAATTCATGTTACTTGCCCTTTCCCTTTTTTCTCCTCATAGCATGCCAGCTCCAGAAGCATGGCAGAGGGTTCAGGCTCTCAGATTAACATGGTTCCCCTGCACCATCAGCCAAACTGAGCAGTTATGCTCAGGGCGGGAGAGTGGTGAGCCTGTGGTTCAGCTGGGGAATGGCTATGCATTAAGCTGGAGCCACTTGCACTTCTCTGTCCCCATCTCAGTGTTCATTAAGATTCAAAGTGAATTTCTAGTTCCCAGATTTGCAAAAGAAATTTTGAAAGGGGGAATGATGTGTTGGCTGAAAGTGAAGAAACCAGAAAGCAAAGGAAACCTTTAGCTGATGATTTTAACTGATGATTTTGGGTACACATTATTTGTGATTTTGTTGTTGTTGGGTTTCTTTTATAACTGGGGTAAACTGTACTTCAGAGAGACTTTGTGATACAAGGTATTTTATAAATGATGAGTTAATATTGTAAGTTTTACAACCAAAGAAGATGAAATAGAGATCTCAGGGCTGAGACCTGTGTGCCTAGTGAGTGAGGAATTTTTGAAATCTGTTGACACCCATCTACTTAAACACAAGAGCACTGTGCCTGTGGGCAGCTGGCAAGAGGAGCTGCTACCAAATGCAGAGGCAGGGCAGCATGCTAGACCTGTACCTTGACTGCATTTCAGGCTGCCTTCTAAAACATCCAGCTTGTGCCAGATACACAACTGCACATGCCAGGGGAAAATGCTATGCTGATCCTACTGGAAGGAGAAAGGTAGTGCAAAGTTTTCCTTCCAAAGAGGGCAGACAGATTAAGCTGATTTCATAATTTAAAGTAGCTTCTGGGGTTCTCAAATTATGTATCTTCATTGGCACTACCTCTGATACCCCAAACCCACACAGTTTCAGTGGCATGAGTAGCTCCTGCCAGATATTGTGTCCTTTCACATCAGTCCCAGAGTGCTCCTCACATGGGGTGGCTTTGCCCGGGCTGCTGGAAGGGCTCCAGAGAGTGAGAAAGAGACACCCAAGTGATAGAATTGTTATCTGCCACTTGAAGAAGGGCTTGTGAGGCCCATGGGACACTCTGCTATGCTGCAGAACACACAAAACTCCTCTGCTCATTCCTTCAGCAGGAAGCAACATAGGACAGCATGGCTTTACTTCCCCAGGGCCAAATCAGCTCCACCAGCTGGCTGTACCTATGAGAATTTTCTGGAAGGTGTCTGAAGCTGCTCTACCAGTGACTGGATGGACTCTGGTAGCTTATAGGAACCAGGTGCTTCTACAGCTCCCTCAAACCAGTCTCTGGAAGCATATCCCTGTGTGATGATAACAGCGTCATTATTGGAGATCAACTCTTCACACAGGCATTGAAGCAATGCTGGCTCTCCTAAAGCTGTCCCATCAGCCCCTTTACAAAGAAATGCAGAAGAGACTTCTTTTTAAGAAAAATCTAATAAATTAAAAAAAAAAACAACAAAACAACAAAAACCAAACAGAAAAACAACAAAAGGAAGTGGCTAAGGGCATATTTTACTGTGCACTAATGAACTGTAAAGGATATAGCCTAAATATTTTAGATGTTTCGAAAGCAGAAAAGCAAAAGCACTTAACAAGAAATCTCTTTGATTTCTAGGTTGCTTTCTACATCTTGCTGCCAAAGTAGAAGCTCCTTGAGCTGAGGATCTTTCCTTTTCCCCTTCCCCCTACTCCATACTGCCTTCTAACCACTGACAGTAGGTAAAAAGTATTCATGTTTCAGTCCAGTACCTTTATGTGTCTCACACTGGAGGGCTTTTTCCATTCCCCTGGGGTTGGGCAGGCCATGATTATCACTCTAATAGAGTTAATTAAGAGCCTTAAGGCCCTGATGATTTGTTTTCTTTGGGACCAGACCTATGGCTTGGGCCTCCAAGCTACCTGCTCTGCCTCAACCCTTTCCCTGAAAAAACAGCCAAGCAAAATCCAGCAACTGGCTCTTCAGGAGCCATGTGCACCCTACTGCTTTAGCGTGAGCTAGGGGAGTAAATGTAGATGTCTTCTCCTTGGCATGTAGCTGAGCTCCATTAGCTGCAGTGAACAGCTGAAACCAGGACATGGACAATAGCTCAAACAAATAAAAATGACCCTTAGAATTTAATCAGTAAGACAAGGCACATCTCAAAGAAGTCCATCTCCAAGATGGGCTTGATGCTCAGAATGCCGGCAGAGCAGCAGTTTGTTCAGAGAGCAGGTGAAGACCGTCAGGTTAGGTCTATAATCACTTATCCTTAGCACCTGGGAGAGCCATCCCTTAAAATGCTATTCTCCTCTTGCCACAGCCTCATTCAGCTCAGTAGGAACCTCTGAGATCAGGGAAGAACCTTTTTTTTTTAATAACTACAGGAGCATAGGGTCACTCCTACATGTGGAATAAGATAAAAGGCTTTTATGTGGGAATCTGCAGTCCTCTGGAGAGTTATAAAGATCAAAGACTTGAAACAGTGGTTAATTGCAGGTGAGGTTACTACTGTGAAGCAATTAGCCCATGTGTGTGCGTGTGAAAATGGAGAGGGTGCATTGCTAGCAAACTGAAGTGTCTGCTATAAAACTGCCCTCAGTTTTAGGGGATAGTAACTATTCCCTTGCTGAGTTATGATTCTTCTGAGTGACCAGTTTGAGTCCACAAAACCTTAGTACCTCACTGGCTCCTGTCCCCTTTGTAGCTGAAATGCGAGTCTAAAGACCATGCACAGGGCTTAAATGATAGAAATGAGGACAAACTACCACGATATTCTGGAGAGGAAACTATGTTCTTTAGTCCATGAGAGCTGTTAAGGTAACAAAGAGGAAAAAGGAGATTTGAAAGATAGGATTTGGGAGTCTTGAAGCCTTTGTCTCAAATCTTTACAGGGCAATTCAGTAACTTGAAGGATGAGAGTAAATTATTGCTGTAATTTGAAACTGCCAGAACTACAAAACCAGGATGAGGACAGTTTTCCATAAAGCTGAAGGCCTCCAAGGAGGTCTCTGAGCTGTACAGTCAACTCTAGTTTGTTTACTAGTGCTGTGGAAACTGTGATGAATTGTAGAAAACATTGTTATTAAGAGGGGTTTCAAAGGGAGGGAGCTGAGCTGGTGATTGAACAGCAAAGCAGCCTTGAGAATTTGTGCCTGAGAAGTATGAGTCTGGAAAGGATAAGCAAAGCTGAACAGGCACAGCTTTTGGATCCAGGGTACCCAATGTTCAAGGGACAAGGCCTGGGGCTGGCTCTGTGGTGAGCTCTGTCTGGTCAGAGGAACAGCCCAAACATGAGCAGTGAGGGGTAGAAACTAAGACCTGATGTTTTCACAAGGGCAATGGCCTGTTCTGAGATCTTGTTTTCCCTCACATGGAGGAGATACTGAAAAAAGCCAGGGAGAAGGGATGGGAGCTTGGAAGCCGGGGAGTAGCTCTGTGTCAAAGCAGAATGAAAGACTCTGCTTATGAGAGTTATTGAGACAGTAAAGTGGATTGTGAAGAAGTGAGGAAATTGCAAATAACAAGAAAAGTATATCTATCTTCCCTTTTCTTTCATATCAGATGCTCTGCAAAGAGGTGAACAACAAACAGGTTTTCAACAAGCTTGCAAATAACCAAAGAAAAGTCTAAAAGTCTTCAATCTAGCTCTTTAGGCAGTTGATTTTTTTGTTTTTTTTTGTTTTTGTTTGTTTGTTTGTTTTGTTTTTTGTGTTTTTTTTTTTGCTAGTATCTGTGAACTGCCCAGACTGACAAACTATGAAAAGGCTACTAACATGCAGCTGAGCCTGGGGGCACATAGACTTGTAAGAGTGGCACTAGTCACATTGTGCAGTCATTGGAGTTCACTGCTGAGACACAGAAAGTTAAAATCTATATCCTTGTTCCCTCCTGGGCTTTTCCATTTCTGCTTCATATCCTTATAACGTCTGAGGCAAGACAACGGTCTTCTGATCTTCAAAACATGGCTTCGGCTGCTACTTAACCCCTCTTTTCACAACAGGTATCTCTTCTCCCTGCATCAATGACCTAATTGCATGTGTGCATGTTGACAGCGTGGAAAGAAGAAAGTCTTTAGTTAAGCAATTAGTTGCTACCATTGCAAGTCCTGCCACAAGATAATTGAGCACCATTAAGTAATGTTTGGTTCTGAAATGCGGCAATTATCTCAGTAATTGCGAGGATGTTACTTGAATTCTAACCCATTTTTACTGACATGTTGAATGTTTCTGCTCACATCTAAGCTGCTGGAGTGCCTGGTGTGAGATACTGGGGGAAGCAAGCAGGGAAGTGGAAGGAAGCATATTCTATTGAAGAGGCTGCCTAGAGCCCAAATTCGGTGGTGGTTTTTGTGTTGCAAGCAGCTGATATTGAGCTGGCTTCACCCTGCTCTTGCCAAGACCTCTCAGCCTGGGCAAGGCAATCTTTCCCTTCCTAAAACCAAAGCACAGACAGGGTGGTGGAGCACAGTTTGCCTGGTCTAGCACTTGACCTTGCTAGGTCTCTGCCTCCTTTCAAACGTGCAAGTCATTCTTGCGCAGCAGCAAGCTGGTTTCTGGTCTTGAAGGTTTGCAGTCCAACTCTTCTCCTCTGTAAGAAGCAATGATCTGAGCTTCAAGGGGATGGAATTAGCCACTAGAGGGTAGCACAATTAAAAGCATAAGGAAGTCTCATTTCTGGAATTCAGACTGTCCGTGCTGGGGGATTTGCAGCACAGATGGTCAGACCTCTGCAGACCTGTGGACACGCGGTGCCTCCAGGCTACCTGCTGCTGAATGGATAGGGCAGTGCAGGAGCAGAAGCAAGCACATGGTGAGGAAGCGCTTGCTGCAGTGAAGCAGGAGCTTGTGGCAGCAGGAGTAGGGCTCCCAAAGCTGCTTCTGCTCTTCCTGGCCACCATCCTACTTGCTCTCTCCTTACCGGAGTTCAGGATCCCAGGGGAGCCTTTTGACTTAGCTCTGCTGTTGGCTTAATGTAATTTCTTGAGTTGTGGCTCTGAATCTAAGCTCAGGTCTGGGGTACAACCAGGTCAGATGAACAATACCAAGGTCTTTTCCCATTTTGTGAGTTAACACATCTGTGTAAGACTTCTTGGGTTAAGAATACTAGAGTACATACTGCCCTTCTCTTGGCCTCTGCTGGCACATACAGAGTGCCATGCACACTAGCAGACAAGAATGTGATCAGTTCTTAAAATCACACTATTGTATGTATGGAGAGAAATCAGTGCTGGGTCGCACAAGAAGCAAGGTTTTAATTTTAAAGCATGCCTCTTGAGCCAAAGGTCAGAGCAGAGCCATCCTCCCTTGAACAAAATCCTCACCACCACACTGTATTAACATGATATTTAAAAATGCAACTGCACTCTCAGGTTAAAGTCCTGGCTCTGCAGAGAGCACACTCCGGCAGGATCAGTTTCAAGGATGGAGAAATGTGGTGTCTGACGCACACTAGAATGTCTGCCTCCTGATCCGCTGTGCAACAATGCATCAAGCACGTCTTGAAACGTGGGCTTTACCAGTTGCCAGCATGTGCCAGGGATGGGGGATAGTTATGATGTTAATGTAGTTAACTGGGGATATGAAGAAGTCTGTGAAGGATAAGGCAAATGCTTTTCCTACAGTCATGTGGCTCATTAGAGCAATTGCAAAATACTGCCAGGGTGAAAGAGTTTTTTCTCTTCGGGGTATTCACAGCATGCAAGGAAGCCTCATTGCTTCATGGGAGTCATGATGATGTTTCCTTGCCACGTTTTGGGCAGCAGTGGGACACGAGCAGGTGTCCTGCGATAGCACAGTGCAGTGTTATGACACTGCTGTGAAAGAATCTGAGTGACTCAAGGTAGAAATGTCTCATTGCGTAGAAAAGGGCTGGCTTGAAACTGATCCTCACTAGTTGCAGGATATCACCACTGTGGTAGCAAGACAGACAGAACAGTACAGAGTGCTTTTTTAACCATGAATATGCCCTTGTAACCCATAGGACAAACTGTGGCCTTTGTGCTGTGTATGCCCATTTTCAACCAAAAGATCTATTCACCAGATCAGGTTAATAACCCATAACCCATCGGGTTAATGCCTCTTCAGAGGTGGTTGCTGGTCAGCTGACAAGGACATTGGAAGATGAATCTGCTTTTCCCAGGTTACCCTAATTGTGGGACTCCTTGCTGTACTTCATCTTTTGGATGGGTTTTATACCATCCCCCTCAGACACATTATTAGGAGGAACAGGGAATGCCATGTATGTTTTCCACCTTATAGTTTTTACAGGCTGCCCCAGCTGATCTGAGGCTCTTGAAGTTTTGCTTTGGAGAGGAGTGTGTGTATCTGTGCAGGGTTATAGTCATCTAAAGTGGCGGTCATTGCCTTCTTGAGAAAAGGTCTCCTTCCTAGAGACATGGACAAGGAGGCAATGGCCTTTGAATGTACAGACTCTTCAGGAAGTGAGAAGCAAATTTATTTTGTGACTTCCCTAGTAGCCTCCATGTCCCCTTTGCCTCCCACTGCATTGCTCTGAGCTGGTCTGTGTGGGCAGGACTGCCCAGGGGTGGCAAGCAAAGACCACAAGGCTCTGGAATGACTTGCTCAAAGAAATGAACATTCACCAGCTGGCAGCATGGGTATGAACCACTCCCCTGTGGCATTTGAAACACAAGCAAGTACAGTAGTGTGTTGAGTTGTATATGGTGGCTTTTTCCTTGTTGCCTTAGGGAACAAGCATGTCTCTTGTTAGCCCTTGGGTGGCCTGGTCTGGGCTCTGTATTCAGAGTGGCACACTGCTTCCCTGGCCTGACCCTGACCCTGGAGTGCAGAGGGAGGAAGATGACTGGGAGGGGAGAGCACGGGAGCTATTTTTGCTCCCATATCGCTATCTAGTTAGACTCCAAGATGCTGTCCTTCACTGCTGTATGCCACCTCGCTCTGAGGCTCTCAAGTGTTTACCATTGACAGGCTGCGAGCAGATGGACTGGCAAGAAGAGATAAATTTGACCCAAGAAGATGTCATTTGAGGAACAGCTGAGGCTAATGTTTCACCAGATGTCCCAGCTTTAACCCATTAGCAACTTCAAGGAACTTAGTGTTGTCAATGGCTTAAACACAGTCCATTACCACAAAGGCAGGGCACAAAAGTTATTGTTAAAATTTGCTCCATAAGCTGATATTCCAGGTTTTTTCAAGAGGGCTGCTATGAGCTCAAGCCCAATAGGGGAGCGATGTGTAGCAAGGTTACATAGCTGTCCTTTGCAAGCTTGGTTCAAACAACATGACTGGTCAAATGTTACCCATTAACGCTAAACAAATCTGCTGGTGCATGAACCAGCAGATACCATACTATGACAATACTAACAAATGCTCCCAAAGTCATTTCTGTGACTGGGGTAGGTGGTCTTCCCCTTAGTGACTGTGTATTGAACATCTCAAGAGACACTGCTGTTTCTGGTGTCAGATTAAACATGTATACATGTGCTTGGTGGCAGTGGACCTCAGGCTGTGGCAATG